TCTTCTTCTTCTTCTCTCTCTCTCTCTCTCTCTCTCTCTGTCGTTATTTTGTTTTAAAAGAGAAAAAGAAAAATATTTGTTCCTAATTTGTAGATAATTTGAAGAACGGTAGATTTCACCAGCATCTTCGCGACACTTTTTCTCCTATGGTGGTGCGTTACGTGGATTTGATGGAAACATCGATCGCACAATCGATTTACAAAGGTTTCGAGAAGGAACGTTGGGAAATAAAGGGAAACGGATGCGCGACTTCCGGCGAATTATTTTGGAAATTGGACGCTCTTCAATCGTTCATCCGCGATCTTCATTGGCCGGATCAAGAATTTCGCCAGCACCTAGAGCAAAGATTAACGTTAATGGCTTGCGATATGATCGAAACTTGCATTCAACGGACGGATGCCGCGTTTCAACAGTGGCTGAAGAAAGGCGTAACTTTTATTTCCACCGATTATATCATACCGTCGGAAATGTGCGCGATGGTAAACGTTATTCTCGACGCGAAAAACCAAAGTTTCGAACTGTGCACCATCGATGGCGTCGACGTGGTACGTTCCATTCGTTTCTCTCCTCCGTTAATTAATTCTTTTCTTCTCTCTACCATCTCGAACCTTTATTCTCTAGATCTCTATATTTATTTTCAGCACCAATATCACGCGAAAATCGATGATTTGATAGAAAAAACATCGGCCGCTATGACCCAAGGAATGATCAACAAGCTGGTCACGGTTTTGGAGACGACCCTGTCCAAATTGTCCCGTTACGACGAGGGATCCTTCATAGGTTCCATTCTCAGTTTGACGGTATTTCTTTCTTCCCCGTTTCATGGTTAATTTAATCAATTCCGTCCCGACCAGACGATCGAGCCGCTTACAAAAATTTTTTTTTAGAAGGTGTCGGGAAGTGGGAAGGAAATGGGACAGGCCTACGTAAGCTTTACGAGGAATTGTATGGACCAGATTCGTGGAAAAGTCTTGGACGAATTATGGATTTTAACGTTCTTCGAGGTAAAAAGGATGGATCATGTTACGTTTGCGTTACGTTATTTCCTCTCTGACCGTTGAGCCCCCTCCTTCCCCCTCCCCCTCTCCCCCTCCCCCTCTCCCCCTCCCCTCTCCCCCCTCCTTCCCCCCTTCCTCCCCTCCCCTTCCTCTTACGCGTGATTCTACACTTTTTCTCTTCGCTTTAGCAATGGTACACGGCGCAAATTCAAATGCTGTGCACGTGGCTCTCGGAAAGGCTCGACCATAGCTTACATCTATACCAATGTACCTGTTTGGCCCATATCGTAAAAAAAATTTACTCGGACTTCGAGTTACAAGGTGTTATAGAGGAGAAACTCAATTCGACGACATATCAGACTATATCTAAGAGGATGCAAACGGAAGAAGCGTCTTGTGCCTTAACGAGCGTTCAGAACGAAGAGTGAGTGATTTCTTTTTATATGCGTTATTTTTTCTTTCTTTTTTTTTTTTTGCATCCATCTTCTTTTTACCTTATCGAGGACAAAGATACACGTCTCTTTTTCCACCTTTCTTATTCCGTAGAGGTCTTTCGGAGAACGGTAACGATGACGAGGTAGAACGACCAAAACCGAAGGTAACGGTCGTGGAAACGGTCAACAGCGAGGACGCGAATATTATCAGCAACGTTACTTCGAACGTTGTTGAAAAAGTTGGGAGCATGTTTGGCAAGGGCATTGGTGGCTTTTCGACAAAATTCGGTGGACCTAGCTGGTTTTGATCATTCTTTTTATATTATCTTATTATTACTATTTTATTATCGCCTATCTTTCCCTCATTTTTATCTTTTCTCTTATTATTCGGTATTACCATATTCCTATTCTCTATTTCTTCTTCATTTTCTTTCCCTCCCCGTTCTTTTATCCCTTTGTATTTTTCTTTCTCTTGTTCGTATTATTATTGTTATATTTAAATTATAATTTTTACGATATAATTGTTACTTGATTATTATTATTATTATTATTATTCTACGTTATTTTCATCTTTGTCGTTATTATCATTATTATCGTTCAATCATCATGATTATTACGATTGTTATATATATTACTTTTAAACATTTGGTCATAATAACTTTATATCGAACTAATAGATTGTTTCGTCTATAAATATGTATATAAACAAAACAAAAGTTTCGACAACAGGATTGTCCATAGTACACTTTAGAAATTTGTTCGAATTAAGCATTCTTCGAAGAAGAATCGTCATTCGTTACAATCGATCGAAAGGACAACCCTTTTATCGTTAGATTTCACGAATTCTATATAGACTTTTCGACAAAACTTCGTTTCGTTGTTCGATTACGTTCGATTGTTCGTGTCCCGAAACGAAAGCATCACGCTTTTTATCTCGAGTCTTTATCGATTTCTTACGTTTGGTCAAAACAAGTAACGTGAGAACGAGTGCGAACGCGATCGGTGTAACGTCGAAAGGTCTTTTCCTTTGTCTTTCTCTATCTGTGCATCGATAAATATGTACTTTCTACTTAATATATATCTTTTGATCAAACTTTTATAGAAATAATATATCTCGTTTGTGCGGTAAACCTATCGATCCACTGTTTTAATTATTAATTTGACATCTATTTTGAAAATATTTTCTCCAAACGATTTATACAGGAATCGTTCATCTTGATTGAACGAGAATTTTCATATATATATATATATATATATATATATATATATATATATATATATATATGTA